TGCTGATTTCTAAAATATATCGTGTTTATGATTTTTGACCAAAATTTTCGAAATATTCGATTTGAACGTCAAATTCTAAAATTTTCCATATTTCAATTGATGATTCTGGCAAGTGGTAGGATTTTTCGACTAAACGAAACCGAAAATAACTTCTGGGGATCGACGTCTACACGAAAATCTCTTTATCTTATTTTCGAAGGTGGTTGAAAAATTATTATCAATTTATTCGGGGAAGGAAGTTTTAAAAAAATTGAGTTTTTGAAAAGTTGACAAGAAATCCACAAACAATTCTGAGATGAGATCTCAAAGAACAAAATCGAAAAATATAGAGATTTTATTGTTCCAATAGGTTTTTGAAATACATATTCGGTTTGAAAACCAAATTTTTTAATAATCCTAGAAAATTGACATGCATTCTGCAAAAAGGTAGAAATCTTCGATGAAATGAAGGGTGAAATAAATCCTAGGGTGTGATTTCTTCAAAAAAAAATGTCTTTGGCTAATTTTCGAAAATCGTCAAAAATGGTCAAGAATTGCACAAGGTTGAAAATTGGAAAAATGCCCTAAAAATCCATAAAAAATTCTGGAATGTAGACATCGGCGTGCTGATTTCTAAAAAATATCGTGTTTATGATTCTTGAGCAAAATTTTCGAAATATTTGGTTTGAACGTCAAATTCTAAGATTTTCCACATTTCAATTGGTGATTCTGGCAAGTGGTAGGATTTTTCGACGAAACGAAGCTGAAAATAACTTCTGGGGATCGACATCTACAGGAAAATCTCTTTATCTTATTTTCGAAGGTGGTTGAAAAATTATTATCAATTTATGAGTGGGACGGGAGTATTAAAAAAAATGAGTTTTTGGAAAGTTGACAAGAAATCTACAAACAATTCTGAGATGAGATATCAAAGAGCAAAATCGAAAAATATAAAGCTTTTATTGTTCTAGGAGATTTTTGAAATATTCGGTTTGAAAACTAAATTTTTTAATAATCCTAGAAAATTGACATGCCTTCTGCAAAAAGGTAGAAATCTACGATGAAATGAAGACTGAAATAAATCATAGGGTGCGATTTCTTCAAAAAAAAATGTCTTTGGCTAATTTTCGAAAATCGTCGAAAAATGATCAAAAATTGCACAAAGTTGAAAATTGGAAAAATGCGCTAAAAATCCACAAAATATTCTGGAATGTAGATGTCGGCGTGCTGATTTCTAAAATATATCGTGTTTAGGATTCTTGACCAAAAGTTTCGAAATATTCGGTTGGAACGTCAAATTCTAAAATTTTCCACATGTCAATTTGGTGATTCTGGCAAGTGGTAGGATTTTTCGACGAAACGAAACCGAAAATAACTTCTGGGGGTCGACATCTACACGAAAATCTCTTTAGCTAATTTTCGAGGGTGGTTGAAAAATTATTATCAATTTATGAGGGGGAGGGGAGTATTAAAAAAATTGAATTTTTTAAAAGTTGACAAGAAATCTACAGACAATTCGGAGATGAGATATCAAAGAGCAAAATCGAAAAATATGAAGGAGATTTTTGAAATATTCCGTTTGAAAACCAAATTTTTTAATAATCCTAGAAAATTGGCATGCATTCTGCAAAAATTGTAGAAATCTTCGATGAAATGAAGGCTGAAATAAATCCTAGTGTCTGATTTCTTAAAAAAAAAAAAATGTCTGGCTAATTTTCAAAAATCGTCGAAAATTGATCAAAAATTTCACAAGGTTGAAAATAACTTCTTGGGATCGACATCTACACGAAAATCTTTTTAGCTTATTTTCGAAAGTGGTTGAAAAATTATTATCAATTTATGAGTGGGACGGGAGAATTAAAAAAATTGAGTTTTTGAAAAGTCTACAAGAAATCTACAAACAATTCTGAAATGAGATCTCAAAGAGCAAAATCGAAAAATATAGAGCTTTTATTGTTCCAGGAGATTTTTGAAATATTCGGTTTGAAAACCAAATTTTTTAATAATCCTGGAAAATTGACATGCATTATGCAAAAATGGTAGAAATCTTCGATGAAATGAAGACTGAAATAAATCCTAGGGGTGATTTCTTAAAAAAAAAATGTTTTTGGCTAATTTGCGAAAATCTTTGAAATATGATCAAAAATTGCACAACGCTGAAAACTGGAAAAAGGCCCTAAAAATCCATAAAAAATTCTGGAATGTAGATGTCGGCGTGCTGATTTCTAAAATATATAGTGTTTATGATTCTTGACCAAAATTTTGAAATATTGGGTTTGAACTTCAAATTCTAAAATTTTCCACATTTCAATTGGTGATTCGGGCAAGTGGTGGGATTTTTCGACGAAACGAAACCCAAAATAACTTCTAGGGATCGACATCTACACGAAAATCTCTTTAGCTTATTTCCGAAGGTGGTTGAAAAATTATTATCAATTTATAAGTGGGACGGGAGTATTAAAAAATTGAGTTTTTGAAAAGTTGACGAGAAATCTACAAACAATTCTGAGATGAGGTCTCAAAGAGCAAAATCAAAAAATATAGAACTTTTATTGTTCCAGGATATTTTTGAAATATTCGGTTTGACAACCAAATTTTTTAATAATCTTAGAAAATTGACATGCATTCTGCAAAAAGGTAGAAATCTTCGATGAAATGAAGGCTGAAATAAATCCTAGGGTGTGATTTCTTCAAAAAAAATGTCTGGCTAATTTTCGAAAATCGTCGAAAAATGTTCAAAAATTGCGTAAGGTTGAAAATTTGAAAAATGCCCTAAAAATCCATAAAAAATTTTGGAATATAGATGTCGGCGTGCTGATTTCAAAAATATATCGTGTTTATGATTCTTGATCAAAATTTTCGAAATATTCGGTTTGAACTTCAAATTCTAAAATTTTCCACATTTCAATTGGTGATTCGGGCAAGTGGTAGGATTTTTCGACGAAACGAAACCGAAAATAACTTCTAGGGATCGACATCTACACGAAAATCTCTTTAGCTTATTTTCGAAGGTGGTTGAAAAATTATCATCAATTTATGAAGGGGAGGGGAGTATTAAAAAAATCGAATTTTTGAAAAGTTGACAAGAAATCTACAAACAATTCTGAGATGAGATCTCAAAGAGCAAAATCGAAAAATATAAAGCTTTTATTGTTCTAGGAGATTTTTGAAATATTCGGTTTGAAAACTAAATTTTTTAATAATCCTAGAAAATTGACATGCATTCTGCAAAAAGGTAGAAATCTTCGATGAAATGAAGACTGAAATAAATCCTAGGGTGTGATTTCTTAAAAAAAAATGTCTTTGGCTAATTTTCGAAAATCGTCAAAAAATGATCAATAATTGCACAAGGTTGAAAATTGGAAAAATGCCCTAAAAATCCATAAAAAATTATGGAATGTAGATGTCGGTGTGCTGATTTCTAAAATATATCGTATTTATGATTCTTGACCAAAATTTTCGAAATATTAGGTTTGAACATCAAATTCTAAAATTTTCCACATTTCAGTTGGTGATTCTGGCAAGTGGTAAGATTTTTCGACGAAACGAAACCGAAAATAACTTCTGGAGATCGACATATAAAAGGGGAGACCAAATCATGCCTCATTTAGACGTTTTGTTTACACTGTTGCCATGGAAACCGTGCGTCTAGTCGCTGTATTCAGCTGGAATCGGTTCCTGCTCGAACAGTGACCACTACCAGTAACTGAGTTGCGGGAATATATTTTCATTCTGCGCCAGTGAAATTGTTTGATTTTAAATAAAAAGAATGAATTCATTTGAATATTTAATAAAAAATTGTCCTCCATTTTACGACGGTAAAATTTTAGTGAAACGGCATCAAAAAATTCGACAGAAAAAAAAGTAAAATCAAACATTTGCTTAACAGGTCAGCAAATAAAAATGACGGTTAAATTTCTTGAAAGTTAACTACAACTTTTTGAAACTTTACACCCATGAAGCAAGATTTGTATTATGTTATATTTTATGCGATACAACTATCAAAAACGGTTATTTCGAGAGAACTTCTTTCGCCTTTGAAGAAAAACAAGCGTACATATCTAGCTTTTTCGAAAAATTATAAAATTCGATTTTATGAATTTAAATTTTATGAGATTTATTCGGCAAAATTTTAACATGATGTCATCAGTTTATTGCAGGGATAAACAAAGATATTTTTCTTAAAAATTGACCATGCTTACGATAAATTTAAAACGTCTCCAAGATTTGAAAGTATTTGGTTTTTCAGATTCAAAATTAAATTGCCAAATATTGTTATACACTTTTGATTTTTTTTCTAAAAATTTGAATGTCTCGGGGTGATGTTATCATATTGGTGGAAGTAATTGTACAAATTTTGGTTAGCGTTTTATCAACTACATGATATTCATAATACACATAAAATGTGAGAACCATCCGTCCAGTAGTTTCGGAGATTAGTTCTACAACAAAAGTCAAAAGAGACGGCGAACAGACCGACAGACAGAGGGAAATAGGGACCTATTTTTTCATACTGTAGAGGGCATGACACATCTAGAAAATATGTAAATAGTTTCGATACTTTATAGAAATATAGAAATAAAGTTGACCTGTTTCGCAGTATTTGACAAATATCAGTAGTTTTGTAATTAGTGAGAATTTCCACATTCTATAACTGCTTTGAGGCATGTCCATGTTACATAACCATTATTACAAAACAGGAACTTTGACATGTTACAAAAAATCCATTTAACTTTAAAAAGTACAGGAATGTAGTATGACGATCGTTGTAATCTACTTTTAATGTATGCTACTCAACTTGTCATTAAACTTATCTTTTGCCCCATATCTATATCTCCACTAATAAGACCTCTCCAAAATCTTTGATATCCAGTATAATTTTAAATATCACGTTATAAAAATATATCATACAAATAAACACGATTTTTTTTCACTTAGAATTTGGAGACAAACCTCAGAATCAGAAAAAACCGAACCACAATCCTCGTAATTCCCCGTCAATCCCCGCCCCCAAAACTTACGTCGCTCGTTTGCTGACATTGCTGTTAACATCCACATTATCAGTGTGCATCCCTGCCACCGCCGAAACGACGCACGCCGCCGCCTTGGCTGCCGCCTCGCACCTCGTCTTGTGCGCGTTCCTCGCCGGCGTCCTGTTCAGCACCCTCGGCTCGCTGGCGTAAGCATACAGCTTCTTCACCTCTTTCACCTTCGGCTCCTCCACCTTGATCCCGATCAGAGTGGCGATCTCCGGGGGCGGCTCCAGGAACTGCCCCTTCTTCACCGTCGTCACGAAGGGCTTCTTGCCCGCCTCATGGCTGGGCGCCTTCTTCGTCTCCTTCTGGAGCTTCCTCAACTTGGCGTCCAGAGTCTTCGTGAACTTGGCATCAATCTGCTCCTGCGGCTTCGTTTTGGTGGCGCTAGTCAAGTTGCCATGGGAAACGCTGAAGTTTTTCTTTAGGTTGTAGTTGTTCTTGTCCTGGGTGGTGTTGATGTAGCCGTTGCTTCTGGTGAAGGGTTTCTGTTTGTTGTCTTCGAGGTTGGTGTCCAGGCGTCTGGTTGGGTACACGATTCCGTTGGGTTTTTGTTTCTGGTTTTCGCGCCCGAAGGGTTTCAAGATGGCTTCGCCTATGATGGTGATGGGCAAGTTGTCTTGGTTGAGGACCTTGAATGCTACATCGTCGTCGACTTCATCCGAAGACATGGAAATCACCGGAGGCATCTCTATATCGGTCATGGGGGCAGCAAATCCAATTTGCTCAGAAAGACATGTCCAGTCTATTAATCAGTCGGTTTCGATCAGGCTTCCATTTTCTGACCTAGTATTGCCTACAATGCTCTATTCGCTAGACTAATTACTGAAGAATTGAGCTAAAAATAAACTCTTTGTGTGGTACGTTTCTATGTAAAAATAATTTCTTGCATCGATTTTATAGGTTCATGCAGGTTTAACTATCACATCGTTACGTTGGGACGTTTTGGAGCGGCGTCGCGACGCCGGCACAGGTGTTAACTGACCGGTCTTTCACAACTGACCGTTGTCCATCCAGCGGCGGTTTGAAAAGGCGGCAGCGCATGACCGATGGGTTTTCACCTGGGGGCGGCGATGGGAGACTCACCATATTTATGAATATGGTCGATATTGATTTCCAGCCAAGAAATTGGCAAATTATGTATTCGAAAAGGTTATTAGGAGCGAAAATTACCGGATTTCGCGTTACTTTAGTCCGAGAAAGAGTCGCAGCTAATTTGTTTCTTTGGAAGTAGGATATTGTGTTGCGTGGAACAAAGGTTTGACGTTGGATGTCCACACCTAGGAGTTTATTCACACAACACTAACACAAATAAGAACTAATCTATTGATGACTGATAAATAATAGAGAAAAAATTGATGTTTTATTCATTTACAAAAACGTGTTCGGTTTATACGAAAATGTAGCAACTGTCAGTCATTTTCTCAAATTGAAGAAATATTTTTTTTTTATTTTAAACCAGAATTTATTTTAGCAAAATTTAATAGTAATAATAAGGACGTCATTACACAGCGGAAAAACAACTTGCCATCTTTACAATCTGAGACCTATTTGTCATAAAACTTTCAATGTATGTATTAACATTTTATGATTGACCACCTATAAGCCAAGCCTTTTAGAAATCTGCATAAATTGAGTCAACTTCAATATCTTCTAAAAAACCGTTAACTATAAAATTTTGATATACTGGTAAATTTAATGTTATGGACTGACTGATCCTGGCAGAAATAATTTAAATAAATCATGAATAGAACTAGACAGAAATTTCCTCGACTAATAGATTTAATTTTACAAATTTTGTATTTTAATGCTAAACCCTAGTCAAATTAAAGATATGTGTGGACGTTAAAGTATAGGTAAAGAGCATGTTATGCGCATCTTTCAAGTGAGTTTTTCCGCAAAAAATTTTATAATGACGTCGTCAACATTTTATCAAGGACACGTGTATCAATTTGAATTGGTGCTGTATACTCATAACTTCGGAAAAGACGTTCTTGATTTGCAGTTTCGGAGATGATTTGTCTAATAAAAATCGACACAAACGACAGACAAAGAGACGGACACTTTTTCCCACTCTAAGAATTGTGAAACGTCGAGAAAACATGAAACTGGCAAGTCGCCCGATGGACTCGAATACTATACTAATATTTATTTTCTAATCTGTCGGGCAAATAAAGATTATTAAGACCTACCGCTGACCCGGAAATGACCGGCATTCAGGCAAAACTTCTATCTTTACGGGTACTAAGACCAAGTAATGATATGCATTGATTATTATTATTATTATTAAATTGTGAGTTTTTTCCAAAAATCTGGAGGTCTAGGGATAAACACTCAAACGGATTCATAAACCACAAGTACAGGAGTATCTTATTTTATACAATTTAAATAAGATTTACTGTAAAAATTTTGAATATGACGTCTTCCCATTCTTGGTGGAGATGATTAAAAAATTTTTGATTGGCAAACTAACTAACACACATACAAAACTTGACAACAATTTTTAAGCTTTTATTAATTAAGCAGTTTCGGAGATTATCTGTCAAATAAACATTAACACAGACGTCAGACAGATAGGTAGACCTACTTTTTCGTATTCTAGGGGTCATAAAACGTCGAGAAATCCTGAAAACAGCGATTCATCGTATGGATTTTACTGCAATAAGTACTTCCTTAATTCATTGTCAAGAAGTAATAAAATGACAAGAAATTCGATTCGAGAAAGTTTGAATGTTAAAGTCCATTGAACACATCTTCTGTTCTTAAAACTTGTAACTGGTTTCGCAGAAACATAATAATTTAATAAAGTCCATATTGTCCACCAGTTTACTGTAGACTTTTGCAAAATATTGTGTAAATAATGTTGCAAAATAAACCCATACGCCACCCCGCTACGACGCCTATGGGCGGTCGAGAGCTTTCTAGTATACATGGCAATGATGGGTAACTCATCGTCGGTGACGGCGCTAGAGAAAACCGTGGAAGTGGAAGTCGCAATGGGTACTTTAGAAAAACTTCGACAGCGAAACATCTAGAAGGGAAGTATGGGGTTAAATAGAAGCCATCGTCGGAAACGATTATTATTCAGCCAACGAGTCGAGTTCAATGAAGAGAGAATTCAGTCAAGTTGCGCCGGAATTATTTTGTACATAATAGCTGTGCAATTAGTCGTGTAAATTTGACTTCCTAGAACATGAATTGTTGAGTTTTACCCACGCCGATTTTTATTTATCGACCAACGTAACAATAAGTTCACTATTCCACTAGATTCCGAAAAAGATGTATTGTTAAACTTCAGATAATTTGAATAACTATCGATCCCGTTTTTATTTCTCCAGAATTTCTAAAGTGATTTTGGTTCAGAATTAAATCACATTCCCTTCGTCTTATATGTATATAATTACTAAAACATTCATGGAGTTTAATTTTAGACAAAGGTCTAGTTCATAAAAATTCAAGATAACAATTACTTGTGGTTTTGTATTTAACACGAATATTGTCTTTTTGACTATTCGTAAACAATTTTCTCAGTTCATTCGAAAACTATATTTAGAAAATTGAGAAGTTCTCAAACGTATGCTCAGTACATGCTTAAATTCGGCTATTTATGTTTATATTTCGAAAGAATTCAACTATTAAGCGCGTACGGATAACCAGAATCAACAGCGGCGGATCATTTGTGTCAAAAGAAAATGAAATTTGGTTAAATTTAACTTCTCAAAACAGAGAATGGCATTAATTAATAAGTACTTAGGCTATAAGTATTTTGAGTAAGTAGCTATTAGTATGAAAATTATTAGTTTATTATTATTAAAGTAAAGTAAAGCTTTATACCACATCACAAATAAATGTGTTTTACCAAAGTTGTCTGAAAGGAATAAGTCAAAATCATAAAATGCCTTGGAAAGAAAAATCTACAAAAAACGCTACAAGATTTCAGGCGATAATAAAATATAATAATTAAATTAAATTCAATAATTAATATTAAATATAGGTGCGCGCTACATTACTGTATTCCGTTTCAGTTTCACTGCTTATGTATATACGCGTCATAGTCAGTTGGAGTAGAAGTTTAAAAAAATATACTGTATTTTCGAGAATATAGGGTGAATCGTTCTTCATTTGATCAGTAAAGAAAAAGAACTGGAAATGCTCGAGGACCGAGTTCGAACTACGGCCAAAGTGAAACGGGGCGGGTGGGCGGGCTCACATCTTGCCTTTTTGTTTTATTATGTGTAGACTTCTTTTCAGAACATGAAACTTTAAACATGTTATTAGGCTCCGCCCCGTAACTACAAAATCCATATTTTCTCGCAAAAATGTACAATTTTAACCATGTTGTAAGTGTCTTGTTGTGAATCGATGGATATGTATATTAAGAAAAAAAAAAAGGCAAAATCGAAGCCCCGCCCATCCGCCCTATCTCAATTAGTTATAAAATCTGCGTTTTTCTACGAGAAATTACTATGTAATGTAATGTTTATTAACGGTTATACCTTTACATAGTTGTGAAATATGTTCTTGAGTGCTCGTGCTATACAAAGAAAACTACATGTATTAATTATAAAAGAAAACCAAAATACAAGCCCCACCCATCCGTCTCGATCTCAATCGTGATGAATTGCTCATTCGTTGTCAGACCGAGGGGCGGAACGTAATTGCAAAATTGATATTTCCCTATACAAGTTGATCATTTTAAGTATGTTTCTTGTTGTGACAAGATGACTACACATTACACATATTAAGAAAAAAAGGCAAAATGTTGCCCCACCCACCCACCCTATCTCTATTGTGATTATTTTTTTATTTGTCGTGAGCCAAAGGGGCGGAGTTTAACAGCAAAATCCTTATTTCTGTACGAGAAAGTAAAAAAAAGTTTTTGAGTATCGTGTTGTTCAAAGAATACTATGTATACTAAGAAAAAATTAAAGCCCACCCATACCTGCCCAAATCTAAATAGTAATGAAGTTTTCATTCGTTAGCAGACCTAGGGGCGGGGCCTAATTGCAAAATCCATGTTTGCTTACAACAATTTACCATTTTAAACGCGTTTTAAGTATCTAAGAATAAAAAAATCATCACAATTGAGATGGAGTGGGTGGGCGAGGTTTATATTTTGTCTTTTTTTCTTAATATAGATAGTACTTTTTGAACAACACGATACTCAAAAACATGTTTTTAATTTCTTTGGAAAGAAAGTAGTATTTTGCAGTTAATTTCCGCCCCCTTGACGCACGGCGAATAAAAAAAATCATCACAATTGGGATAGGGCGGGTGGGCGGGCTCACATCTGGCCTTTTTGTTTTAATATGTGTAGACTTCTTTTCACAAGATGAAACTTAAAACATGTTATTAGGCTCCACCCTGTCTTGTTGTGGAAAGATGACTACACATATTAAGAAAAAAAGGCCAAATGTATTATGTATTATCTAAAGTGGGCGAAGAATTAAGTAAATTCAAGAGGGATTCATAAACCACTGCAAATTATTTTATAAAATGTAAGTGTCCTTTACTGGGCAAAATGTTGAGCTGACGTAATAATAATATATAAAATTTTGGATGTGATATCATTGTGGAAACATACAGACTGTATAACGTTTATTATTACTTAGAGCACTGGAAATACATACTGTTACGAATGAAACCCATACGCTGCCCCGGTACGACGCCTAGTATGTACGGGGATGATGACTCATTGTCGGTGACGGCCGCCGGAGAAAAGCCTGGAAGCGAAAGTGGCAATCGGCAATCCAGAAAGACCTAGACTGCGAAACTTTTACAAGGGAAGTATTGCCTTAAATAGACACCACCTTCCGGAACCATTATTATTCAGCCAGTTCAGTCAGCAAGTCGAGTCCAGTGAACGAATTCAAGTTGCACCACGGAGTTATTCTGTACATAATCGCTGTAATGGTTAGTCGTGTAAATTCGTAAAGCGTTGAGTTTAACCCACGCCTATTTCAAATCACCGATCATCGT